GATAGCAGCAGTCGTTCAGGCTCCTTATTAGAAGAATCAAGCAAGTCACTAGTTTTCATAAAAAGGCTTCTCTTCTTCTGATACTTTTTTTCCTCCTTGTTCAAACAATTTTAGTCACAATGTTTTATAATTTATACCCTCCATTCCGGCATCCTTCAAAAAACTATCAAGTTCTCCATACACACAGACATTAACAAACTATTCTGACTTATTGTCATTACTTTGTTCTTTTGCGTTCCCAGTGGAACATAGGACTTCAAGTTAGTGCTTTGAAGTTTCATTAGCAGTGGTGTTTTTTACGCAAGGGGGTTGCCAGTCTCACTTCCAACCTTCCCTCTTTACCAGGCTTACTACCGGTTTAGGAGTGCGTCAACAGGGGCTCGAACCCCGCACCATTCCCATGTTCTACCACTGACTGAACCACAGACGCTTATTTGGTTTTATGACTAGTGATATTATTTTTGATCACATTACATGACTTCGTCTCATTCACTTCCCATAGTGGTTATTTCATGATGAACTAATCACCACCGTCTTATTGTCTCTCGTTTAGTGCATACTACTTCTGTACTAGCCACTCATCAAACATATTTGACAGACTTATCAGTTTTTCTTCTCAACATTTTATGGTCTTATCATGAGTGTCCGCCATGGTCTTGCATTTGGCCCAGCACAATTGTCACACAAATTTCTATATCTTTTTGTCATCCTATAACCAATCTGTTGTTCTATGCAAGAAGAACGTATCCGCCACACAACTGGCTCTTTTTGTAATATTAAATGTCCTATTTTATAAGTGTAAGAACTTGAATGGTATTTATTGAAAAGAATATTCTCCATTCAGACCTACTTTTAATTCATAGTATGAAAATGTTGTACACACTTAAACTGTATACGTAAGAGCTTTACTTAGGTATCAAGATGGTGTGAGGAACTCACAGAAACCCAAAATTTTTTTATCGGGACGTTCTTTTAAGCCGCAAGCGACTTTACTCTCCATTTTCATGGCGTCTTGTAAGTGCAGCCAATGATCGTCTGTACTATCTGAAGGGTTAGTAACTAGCCTTAAGTTTGCCCCAGTTTGATATTTGGTAGCGGCACTACGTGTTAGCAGTTAATTTACGTCAACTTGTTGAGGACGACGTTTACGCTCACCACACAAATCGCAAGATAAACCTGGAGAACACTAAAGCAATGATCAGAATCCAGACAAGTGCAACAGAAGGAGCGATTTTTTTTTAAGTCCCTATGCGATCGATAGTTGATAGCAGCATAATCTATTTGAGTGTGGACGGAGCTGAAATCAACTTCTCTGAGTTGCGTACACACTCATATCACTTTTCTCGGGGAAATCTTCCTGTGTATTTTCATGTGCAGAACAGATCAATATATTATTTGGTCACTGAAGCTGAAGTATGAGTAGCGTAGCTTAAAGACCAAGTACTTATACCAATTATTCACACCCATACAAAACCAGTGAATGTTGAACAACTTTTTCAAAGGATTTGCAAACTCTATCATTCTAAAAAGTCCTCACCTTCATAATCTTCAACTCTCGAATGAAAATATATAGATCACTTAATTGGATTATAAAATTATATATTGGTGTGGTTGAAGTATGTGCTGAAGATGTTTACAAAGACAATGAAAGCTTCTTAATTAGACCATCCAGCTCAAGGAACACATATATGCCAATATCACCTACCTGAGATACAAACCTCCAACAATATAAAATTATATAGACCAATGATTTCATAAAGCAATTCCAAATGGAATTAGTACATCCAGTTAAACGTGACTTAAGTGTAACAATAGGATTAATAGATTCAGAAACATAGAGTAATTCACTACTGAAATATTTGCGTCGGTGGCACAGCGGTAGAATGCTCGCCAACCACGCAGGTGGTCGGGGTTCGACGCCAGGACGATGCACTCCCTTACCTCGCTAAGCCAGTAATAAGACTGGTCAAGAAGGATGGTTGGGCGTGAGACCACCAACCCCTACCGAAACTTCAAAGCTCTAGCCTGAAGCCCTATGTTCCGCTGGGAACGTGAAGGAGTAAAAAAAACCCACGGAAATACAAAGTTCTGTCAACCCATAAAGTATACACCGTTGTCCCAATCACTTTTGCTTTTGCTGATACACAAATTAATAGGGAAAAAATCCTTAATTCAACGAATGCGCTGTATATCATAATTTGCACACTGAGATCTTAAACGCCGATTAAAAATAAAATCACGGGTACTACACCAGTTTGTCTAAGCTTCCCTGAATCTAACGAGCTTTGAATTGGTGAACTCAGTCATTGAGAAAAGCCAAGTATCTAGATGCGTGGATCACAGTTTCACATAAATTAAGCATACAAACTAAGTCAGACATATATTTTCAAAAGGCTTTATTTTAAGTTACAACGGTTACTTGGCCTTTAAATGACATCAGGAAGATGGATTATATTCTCGCCTTTGAATTCAGGAAAAATATTAATTTCATACAACCGGTGTTTTTATTAGTTTGAATGAAGAAAGAACGAGCATTATTTTTGCAGGATAATACGAGCTCGCCTTATTCCGTGGATTCTCTTCAACTGTCTTTGTTTTTTCCCTTCACGTTCCCCAGTGGAACATAGGGTTTCAAGCTAGTGACTTGAAGTTTCTGTAGCAGTGTTTATTTTACAGGATGGGGTTGCTCGCCTCATGCCCAACCTTTCCTCTTCACCAGCATTATTTCTGGCTTAGCGAGGTAAAGGAGTGCGTCGGCCGGGGATCGAACCCCAGACCATGTGCATGGTCGGCGAGCGTCCTAATCGCTATGCCACCGATACACTCTCTGCAACTGCGTACATCCTAAATAAATCAATTATCTGTTACAAAATGTCTAAACACACTTATGACAATGATTTCAGGAGAGTTTGGTTTGATTTGCACTTGCTGAGTTGAACTCACTATTAAGTTCCCAAATCTATTAAATTATTTTACTTCAATATTCACCCCCAACCTTGTGAATTCTCCACCATAATATGTGTAAATTAACTCTGTTGTATTTTGTCTCTAGTCCATCCTTGTCTTCAAGAGAAATCAGAACTCCACCTATCTGTCTAATTACTACATAAATAGTTACTCTTTTAACACTAAATAACTGTCTACTTACATTATCTTTGAAATTACGTTGCTTATAATTTCTACCTATGACTCGAAGCCATTGTAAAAAGTAAGTTTGGGAAATTTTGTAAAGTATAATTGATTTATTTAGGATGTACGCAGTTGAAGAGAATCCAGGAAATAAAATGAGCTCGTATTATCAAAATTGTAAATATGTTTGTTCTTTCTTTATTCAAAATATTAATTATTTATCTTAGTTCTCTGAATCCTAAATACGCGACTATTTGTTCATGGATGATTGGTGCCTCTGCACCTTTCGATAACTGGATTCTACTAGGAAAAATCGATTTGGTCGCTGAACACATTCAGTACAAATAGAGAGTAGTTGTAGCTTGAAATGAAGATGTAAACTGTCTAATGTTCTCTGACTCTCATCGCCAGGCTTGACAACAATTGCACCATTAGGACCATACATTATGATCTGAGTAAATGCTTACCGAGGAAGCCAGTGTAGAAAGGCCACGTGATGAAAACCAATCACGTCCACCAGTAGTGATTACTGAACAGAAGGATATGACTTGAACCGCCAAAGTGTCATTTCACGCGTTTGGGAAGCCTAGCCTATCAACAATGCACTAGGGATGTCTCAGCTCAGAAAGCTGAACCAGTACTAAACACCGTAAGTCCTTAGTTAGCTAGGCCCACGATCTCTCATCTCCTCGTCGCACGATCCTCTCCATATCATCCTCGAACGACCCACTCATCACTTTCCATTCGGGTTCTACTCGAGAAATGGCCTGGCGCGCGAAGTCATTCGACGGTCTCCTCAGTTTGTGCCCAATCCACCTCCATTTTCTCCTACATATTTGTTGAATGATAGGTTCTTGGTTAGTTTCTTGGTGCTAATTCTTTCTGGCCATTGGATCTTCACTGTGGAGCCATCGAAGGCGACGAAAGTTTGCAGTGACCTGTTGAAAAACACTTTTCGTCACACGCTGGCTAAGTTTCTGACCCGCACAGAAGAACTGACTTCACATTTGTGTTGAAAATCCGAGTCTTGTTCTTTTGATGCTGAGTGCAGAAGATTTCCAAACTGGTTTCAGGTTGATGAAGGCGTATCTTGCCTTTCCGATTCTGACTAGCTTTGACATCTTCATCCGTTCCACGCCTGTGGTTGAAACCGTGCTTCCTAGTCGGATAAGTCAAGGAAGCTACCTCTTTCAAATTTCTCCCATCGATGGTGATGCTGCTGGTTGTTGTCGCTGTTGGTTGGTTATCTTCATCACCTCCGTCTTCTTTATGTTCACCTGAAGTCCTGTCTTCGTTGCCTGCTTCTTCAGCCAGTTTGTTGGTTTTCGCCTGCAAGTCTTCGAGTTTATGTGACACTAGACATAAATCATCCGTGAAATCCAGATCTTCTAGAGTCTTCTTATCGGTTCACCGTATTCCTGTCTTTTCGCTCCCCACGGTTTGACGCATGACAACTATGAAGAAGTGAAAACCTTGGCTAGCTACATATTGAAATCATCAACATCAGCCACAGTGTCTGTTACTCACTTAACCAGTGGGACCACGAGAACTATACCGATCCGGTCACCGAATACTACTGGAAAATTGATAGGAATCATAGGGTATAAATTACTGTGATTGACAGAGAACTTCTATGAGGAACTATATCAACCGCTTAGGTGATATTAACTAGGACGCACCTTAATTCAATCGGTCCCCAAGTCTAAACACAGCAAAGATTGTGATTTTTACAAGAGAAATTTCCTCTGGTTACGATACCACCAGTCTGCTCTAAACCGACTACTTTTGTCAATTTAGACGATGATGGTTGGGAGAGACAAGAATACTGGCTCTCTGAGTTTACAATTTCAAAAATGCAGTGCACTTTTTTTCAGTATATATTTTTTTATTTCTTCTTTGTAAAGAAAAGAACATGAAGTGAAACAAACAAACCAATGGTTGAAAAAAAAGGAAAAAGAGAAGAGAAGTACATAAAATTGCATGAAAATCAACCGTTTATGAGTTAACCATTTTTTTTTCAACAGATGTGTATACACATATTATGATACTTATAAACTATTCATCCTGTTGCTGCACCATAGATTGACACTTTCACACACACACACACCTCTCTCTCCCTTCCTTTCACTGGAATTTCAATTGATTTCCACTATCCCTTTTGTATATCCAGTTGATTTGATGAAAGACATTTGTTTTATATTTTTTTCTCCCCTAAGCAATGGACGTAATTCAAATTTCGCTTCCTATTGATTAAAAGTAAGATACACTTGTTCTGATTCATATCACAATCAAACATCTTTTTTGTTGTTGAGTGCGTGCATTCAAGGAAAACAAGATGTGATGATAAGAAAGCAGAAAAAAACGGAGTTGAAGGAGGCGGAGGCAGAGCGGGGAAAGGAGTAGAAGAAATACAACTCAAAATCAATTTCATCATTTTTCTTATATAGACCTTAACATGTACAGCAGAGAGAAACACGCACTAAGGCTTTGTTGATAATAACAATAATAATAATAACACGATATCAATAAACCAAAGTAGCGGAGTACTACTTTCTATAAAAAATAAGTAATATGTATATGTATATATATGCACATTTATGTAACTCAGCTAAATCGATAAATTAAAAGAAACACAACACAACAACCAATTACTAGCCCTAAAACAATTGAATCTTGTTTATGACGCCAGTCAATTTTACCGATTAATTTTTTCACCTGTGGAAAACGGGAACTTAAATTCGATAAGCCTGTTGAAGCAGTGCGTAGAGCAAAACGTTGAGCACGTAATGCAGCGCGTATCGTTGACGCTGCAGCTAAGTGTTCATCTAATAAACGATTAGAACGATGATATTTCTCTTGTTCATCTAAAAGTAAACGTGTTGAACTTGAAATATTTGACTGTGCACCAGGACGTTGATTACCACCGGAAGAATCTACTTCAGACTGAGGTCTTGAGGTAAAATTACCACTGAGATTTACAGTTGTAGAATTTGTGTCTCTATAAACCTGTATAAGAAAGAAACAGAAGAAAAAGGAAGATGAATGAATCTTCAAAACAAACAGGTTCATATGAACTTTCTCAACAACTTAAACATCCATAGGAAGACTGTAGTTTAAAAGCATGGAAAGATTAGTTGTCTTTGCATCATAGGTGTCTACGTTCTATTTCCCATGTTAGATAGTAATATTGAGGTTAGGAGTCGAGTGTTAGGCAAGGGGGGGAAAGTCAATCAGTGAGGTTTTGAAGTTACACCGATTGTGCTTAGCCGTCCATAGCCTTCCTTGACGGGCAATGTTAGCTGACATAAGATCAGGTTGGAAAAGAGGTAGTGGTGGTCAATCTAGAACATGGCATCAGTCAGTAAAGTCCATAACATTTACTTAAGGCAAGTTACGAAAGGAAGGTGTAGATTGCCAGTCTGGTTGGAGTCCTCCAGACGGTCAGAACCAATGGGGCTGGAGACTGTTGGTGATATGACTCAAAATCGTTCTCAATGGTGCAGATGGATTCACTCTTTATGATCCTCCATATTCATTGAACGCTATCATTTTTTCCATGTCACTATTCTTTCTTTATCCCTCACATTTCTGTTTATTATTGTTCTTTTGTCTGACTTGGCGTGCTAAATGGAGTGTAGCAACTCAAACTGCTCCACTTCATTGCAAAGCTCTATGTTGAAACCAGTCAGTAAGTCAGTCAGTCAGCAGAATGTAGCCATTGAGTTCGAAGTGCTTACCGAATTCTCTTGATAAAATTTACTACATGGTTATTAAGCTAAGCATTGAAGTTCTGGTCAAACGATAGGAAACGTTTATGTTATATCATGGGTGACCATGATCAATGCATATAGTAGCAACACCATGACTTAAGATGCGTTGGCACAATAATAATAAGAAGAAGAAGACGCAATCTTATGTGCAACGTGCAATGTATCTGAGCCACACATTTCGGACATTCTGATCACACACGTACTTGTCATGCATATTTAAAAAGAAGGCAACAAGAATATGCCGAATCAAAATTTCATCACTACAGGTCAAAATGCTTACTGGTGACGACCACGGATAAGAAGTGGAAAAATGAGATAAGATGCAAACGGAGGTGGAAATATTATAGACTTTAGTTTTAGAGTTGGATTACCAAAGCAGGTTCAAAGTAATAACAAGTAATTTTTCAAAACATGAAACAAATTTAAGCCCGTTTGTGGCTAAGGCTTTGGGGAATTTAAGTATAAGTGGGTTAAAGACATTACCGAAACCAGCTAAATGACCTCTCTCTCTCTATGACTTCCTTTGCAACTGATGACGTTGGACAACTATTTCCAGGATCAATTGAATCAGGCCACATACTTTGTTCTTGCAACCACTTAGAAATGTGTTATGTAGCCCTGAACTGCAGAGATCGATGAGTTCTCTCTATGTACATGTGACTAAACATAAATGTAAATCGGTAAATACAGTGAGGTGTGATACAAGAAAAATATAGGCAAGGTGCAAACGGTAAATAATGCGACTTAGTATATTAAAAAGACAATTGCAGCGAAGAAAATTTTCTTTTCGACGAAGTCATCATCTAGGCTGTACATTCGTGTATTTATATCAAATGGATGGGAAAGTTCCAGAATAATTTCCGGTTAAGAATCAAGTTAATAAAAATTACAATTAGGAATTAGAATGCCATAATAAACAGGAGGACGGATAAAACTCAAACAAAGTAGCATTATAATAACTAAGAAGATTGACATTGTGCAATTGGGGGTTAGAAATGTAGAAATAACAAAATAGATAGGATGTTTGGATAAAAAACTAATGTGATGAATAATTGTTTATGCAATCAGGGATTAAATATGTAGAAATAGTAAAATGACAAAATAAACAGGAAGTGTGGATATGAAAATATAGTAGTGTAGACAGGGATTAAGAAACACTTAAAATAACATGAATAAACAGGAAGTTTAGATAAGAAAGGCGATGGGATGGTCATTATTAAAAAAGACATTTACCTGTTTATGATGGCCATGGCAGGAAGAGGGGTTGGACGTATTTCATTTGGATACAAAGTGTGCGTTTGAGCTTTTGGATGGCTAGCGCCTCAGCTATGCCCAGATGTCTTGATTTCACTCCCTTTGGTAGGTTTGATTGAATCTTGTATATTACTTTGAAGGATTTTTCGAAAGGCGCTGAATGTCCTGAGTTGACCAGATGTTCTGTCACTGAACTGTATACACGTTTTTGGTCTCCTTTTACAAGCCAGGCTGGATAGTGTTCACGAGCGCGATTTTCAAGTCGGCGCATGGTACGGCCGATGTACTCAGCTCCACAAGAACAAGTAAACTGGTATATGCACGTTGAGGTGACCCAATGCGACAGCTTGTCTTTCGCGTTCTGGCTGAACAGCTTCTTGCAGGAAAACGTCAGTCGTAGGGTCGCGGCGAAGTATGTTTTCCTCAGCGATTTGGAGAGGCGTTTACGAAGGACTTCTGCTTCAATATCACCTTTGAATTCTAGATTAAGCAGAAGTATTTTCTTTGGAACGGATTGGACTTGTTCTGAAGTCTTCTTAGATTTGAAATTCTTGTCTATGAACCTGGGCGGGGAACCGTTTTCCATCAGGGTTTTTTGGAGATTACGCAGTTCTTCTTCAATCACTTCCTCGCTGCATGTCTTCCGAATCCTCGAGGAAAGAGCGTTTATCAGGTTCCTCTTTCTGCTTAGGGGCACGAAGCTTTGAAAGTTGATGAATTGTCCATTCCATGTAGGCTTTTTGTATATGGACCTTTTCAGAGAGTTGTTGGCGTTTCTTGTCAGATGGATGTCGAGGAAGTGGAGGTTTATCCGTCCTCCTGTTTATTATGGCATTCTAATTCCTAATTGTAATTTTTATTAACTTGATTCTTAACCGGAAATTATTCTGGAACTTTCCCATCCATTTGATATAAATACACGAATGTACAGCCTAGATGATGACTTCGTCGAAAAGAAAATTTTCTTCTCTGCAATTGTCTTTTTAATAACTCCTATAACCCAATGTGTATATTCCGTGACTTAGTATATGTGAATACATGTATCAGGAAATACTTCACACTTATTTTTCGACTGCTAACAGATACCGAATAGCTGTCTGGACCTCGATAAATGGAAAGAGATTTGAGGGGGTGACCTGCATATCAAAAGTTGATTATCTATCAAAATACGCCATAGTTTCACCATGTAGGGAATCCATCTAGTAACAGTGAGAATCTAAAACCTACTTCACACTGAAGTGTAGGCGCTGAAGATGTTGTCCTGAAGAATACCGAAAGATCCGCGATTAAATCACTCAGTTCAGAGAACAAAAGCACACTCCACAGGAAGAAAAAAAAGCTTACCTTGAACCGTTCTCTGTACATATAAGGCATGAATGCAGGTAGATTAATCATTTCAATTCTGTAAACTTCGCAAAAACTAAAGCAGACGAAGTGGATAGAATGGACAAACACAAACATGACAGCAAATAACGGTATGAAGATTAGTGGGAGAAAAGGTTTTGAGCTAACGGACTAGGTCTCGAACCATAGCTTTTTAACACTGCATCAGAGCAAACTACATCCCCATAAAAGACTTGGGCGAACAGCTAGGGACTTTATGGATTAGTATTTAGATTTCAGATTTATAGGGATTCGATGAATTTCACTCTACAATTTGCCACAATGGCGTTCTGCTGCTCGCATACTAGTCTAAAGGCCCTGGGTCCGATCCCCAGTGGGGTTGTGGATGCCCACTGTAGAAGAGTTGCTATGCAGGACAAAAAAGTCGTCTAGTACTCCGTTGGTGTCACTAACTCCCTAACTAATTTCGGTCTGTGACGAAATCTGTGTTATTATGGAAATACTGTTCTGCTTTATTCTGTTTACACTTTGCCTTTTTCTAATCTAATTCTACTTCAACTGACATTCAGTAGGAAGCCTTTAGTCCTAACGGAATGTGTTTATCGAAACTTATTAAGAAATGGTAGTAACTCACGGGGAAATGTATATGCCTCAAGGTGTTTTAGTTTTTAAAAAACTATTATTATGTCATTCATTTTATTTGATGTATTGTGCATGAAAACTCCATTCTCTCCCTCTCTCTTTCTTTCCGTCTCTAGATAACATTATAGGTGTAAAATTAAAAAGTGAGAGTCTCTCAAAAACAGCAGTTTGTTTTGATTACTTGGGTTGTGACGGACTTTAACTGTACACATGATTGACTGCTGGGTAGAATAACATCTTCTGTTGCCCAATGTTGTTTTCTTCTGTTGGTTAACGAATAAACAATATGCCTATATATCTAATGACTATCTGAACTGCAAGCTTGGAGTGATGTGGAATTTAAAAATATGATAATGGTCTGACTAGTTTCTCTGTTAGTACACAATCCCTCATCGGACATTGGTACATCCAAAAATTAGGATTATTTTTTTTTATTTTGATTTGATATTGATTACAGCTTGATGCCACACTGTATTTTCAGTACAAGTATGGCATTTTCAGCATGGATATCGGTAGCCCAAATTTTGCAGGCCAACCATAGATATCGGGTGTGCGTCGGCAGGGGATCGAACCCCGGACCATGTGCATGGCCGGTGAGAGTCCTAACCACTGTGCCACCAACGCAAAGATTTAGATTTTACCTCCAGAATAAGATAAAACCTACACATGTAAGTAACTATACACTTTGGAATATAAGCAAACAATGAGGGAATATTAAGGTGACCATACAAGTGTGGTGAAGAAAAGTATGAAAATGTGAATGATGATATTTTGAGTACAGTATACAAACTTAATAGCGGTGCTTCTCGAATCATATCGTTGAACTCTTCTAACGTGTACATTTTAGACGCTTAGCCTAATCTGTACGGTTGAGTAACTTAGAAAGTGATTTAGATAATGAAGCGTAGTTATGCAATAATAATAATTTGCTTTATTCCAAAACAGTACTTGTGATACAGAATGGAATTCTCAGCATTTTACTACAGTATTGCATCCAGTTAGTACATTATCAATGAATAAAATTTTACATAGATTGAGGTAATCTCACTTCATTATGACAACAACATATTGGCATGTCGGTAGCAAAGCCAAAATTGAACAGGGTGGTTTGAAGGTGTTAGAAAAGTAGATGCTAGCATATTTACTGGCGTAAGCAGTAACAAAAAGGTCGAGATATACGGAGTGTGAAGGAACGAAGAATAATGTTTTAAATAGAGTTTGTAAGGAAGAAAGAAACAAAGCAGCACATAACGGAAAAAGAGAGAGAGAAAAGGAAAAGAAAGAAAGAAAACGTTGTACCTATAAATGATACGAGTTGGAAAGACAAGGTCCAGTTGTACTACTGACTATTTAATATGTTATAGGTATCACGCCTAATGCTTTCTTTATCGCATAGAACACGAGCTAAGTAGGGTATGGTTGAGTTTTTGTACTTGCTAGTGCGAGCATATAGTTTTCTATATAGGCTTCTGGTTTTGCCTGATGAGAAACAAGGGGAGAGTTGTGAATGATTATCTTTGTTTGGCTTCATACAGCATCTCTATTTTTGTGAAGATACAGAGATTGTCCTAAATTTTCGTTAAACCATGAAATTTATACAGTCGATAGGAAATCCAATAGTTTATTGAAAGACATATAATACTGTACAACTGTCTACCCTATTCTATTAATCTGTTGTTAAAGATCGCAGGTGAAAGTGGGGATCATAAGATCAGGCATTTGATCACGAGTGTCATTCAAAGAGTATTCGACTTATTTACATTCAATAAAACAAAATTCACTAATGCTGTGACCAGACTTGGTAGTCAACGATTATTTTATTTCTGAGGAATGTAGGATGCTTAGTTTCATTTCTTAACATGTCTTCTGTGATTACAGGTTAAAACTGCAACTGTATTTTCATTGTTACTGTAGGGTGGATCAGCAACCTGACCGCCAGAAATGTCTTGCTCTCTAAAGACAACAGCACATGTTTATACAATTACCCCAGAAAACACACAAGATAATTTGGATGGATATATGTTGACTAAAATGCAAAATAGTTTGATCACCAGATAACCACTATATATATTGTAATATTTTCACATGCAATACACGTAGTAACACGAGATTTTTAAAACACAAAAATATGAGGAATATATATGTAATAAGAAGTGCTTACAGATCCCAACAGATTTTCCCGTTCACGAGCAGCAATAAGTTTGGCTTTTGTTTGACGAAATTCCTGAGCATAATCACGTAGGATTTCCCGATGTCTTTTAGCTGTATGCAGTTGACTAAGTCTACCCGCTGCCATATTGGTTGGATTAAGAGGATTCCGTGTGGTAGAATCAAAAGAGGTAGGTGTGGTTTCTGTTTCTGGAACAAAAGTAGCCATCCTTTCATTGATTTGAGTGAGTCTGAAAGTTAAGAACACACAAATAAATAAACACCTGGCCACTACAACTTTGCTGGAAATGTCCGAAAGATGTTAAATAAAATTCAAGTGGAAAAAGTTAATCGATTAGGGTTTTTTATGTTTAACGACTGAAAGATAACTAATACTTGGTAGGAACACAAGGGCATAAAACAAAAGACAGATAATACCCTTTGAAAAACATGCTAAGCTCAAACTTATTTTTAATCACCTTTTATACTGATAAAAAGAGAAATGATTATAACGACCTTTAAGTAATTTCATGTGAACGTCTATGCGGATTAGTCAGTCAGTCTTGTTAACCTTGAGGATATAATAGAAATACTGTACACAAACTTTTAGTTTACACAATCAGTTCATGTGTACGAGAGTTCTTTTTTATTCCTTTACATTCCCACTGGAACACAAGGCTTCAAGCTAGAACTTTGACGTTTCACTAGCAGTGGTTTTAATTTTACGCGGGGAAATGCTAGCCTCATGCCCAACCTTTCCTCTTTACCGGACTTAGTATCGGCTTAACGAGGTTTAGGAGCGCGTCTGCCAAGGATCGAAACTCGGACCACGTGCGTGGTTGGCGAGAGTTCTATCGCTGAACCGCAGTGTACGAGAGCACAACGACCAAGCTATCAATCAAGGTAAATTTAAATACGCTAACATAAATTATAAAAGAATCAACGACAATAAACACAATGAGGACGGTGATTTTCATACTGGTGAAGAGCTAAGAGGATAAGGAGAGAGGAATAATGATAATTATGAAAAAAAGTGAATTACAATGTCCAAAATAAAGATGGAGATTGCAGACGTTTGCCAATGACTCTTAGTCTACTATGTTCTAGTAGTGCTAACAACATCGAACATAGCGTGGATCAATAGTCACTAACTACACGAATGAACTGACTGAGTTTCAAAATAGAATTTGGCAAAGAAGTGCTACAGGGGTAGAGAGATAAAGAGAAACTCAAAAGAACTGAAACGGGCAGAAATGAATGGGAAAAAATTTAGTTACACGAAGAAACATGAGAACTACTTAGCAGATAAGTATCACTTTCGCTCTAATTATTCTAAGGTTTTACCAGTCCCACTTCTTTATAACTAATCTATATTGACCTGACCAGCTACCTTAACGTGGTGGTCAGGCTTGCACATCGTAATGACCCAACAAACTACACTGGCTGCAACTATTGTTCCTGCAGGTCCTACCATGCCAGGAAGGTTGTTAGAATAGCGATTTGACTAAAAGCAGTTACCAGCATAGTGTAAGAATTTTTTCTTACACTATGCTGGGAGTCTGTGGGTGAAGTCGTACTGCTGGGGAATAGGGATGTAACAGCAGTGAGGTGTTTCCCTCAGATGACCAGCATGCCAGCTATGCTGTCTCTCCACTCTGGAGAGAGGGGGTTAGAAAAGGTCGACCCCGAAAATTGTACATCCCGACTTACCCTACGGTGGTCCGTAACCGACGGTAAGTTTACTAAGACGGAACTAATCCCAGAAACCAGTTCATGCAGGCCGTGTGTGACGGGCCACAAGCAGTTGTCCCCTGGGCTTTGCGGTCAAGCAATAATAGCCCTCTTTCTGTTCCGGGTACCCGAAAAACCAATCAACTTCCACTGCGTGGGCAACCAGGAAGTAACAACCGTCCACACACTTCCAAGAGCACACGAAGCCTTCCTGGTCATCACTCTCCTTTACCCACATCACCATCATCTTACTTCCCTACTACAGCCAGTTCTATTCTTCAGGCTAGTGAGTCACTTTCACTATGTGACCACAAACAACGATGAGAGCCATAGAAACACTCCCGACAGCCTCTTAAAGCCACGTCGCCAACTTCATGAAAGGACTCCCCTGATGTAGCCTGGTACAACATACAGTTAGCTGTAGACACAGCTGTAAAAGCAGTTAATAATCTGGAACCAAAAGTTAGTAAGAGTCATTGGGTCTCTACCGCCTCTTCCGAACTGATTGAGGCAAGAAGACTGATTCCAGCGAGTTCCGATTATGATGAGGAGCGAAAGGTACTTAAACGCAAACTAACAGGAAGCCTTCGTAACGACCGTGAACAGTGGTGGGCGACAAAAGCGAAGGAGATGGAAAAGGCATCGGCGATTAGTAACACTAGACAACTATTTAGACTTATCCGGGAAACAGGTGGTAAAAGGTAAATGATAAGTGAAAATGGCACCATAATTAGCTCCCAGGATAGACAACTGGAACGCTGGAAAGAACACTTTTAGGAGCAGTTTAATTGGCCTACAGCCACACTCAACTAACCGAACACCCAGCACCTCCATGAATGGGATACAGACACAGGCCCCCATCCCTAACCGAGGTTACTAAGAGTGTCATTAGCCTGAAACGAGGCAAAGTAGCAGGACCTGATGGAATGACTCCAGGGGTATTTAAGTACGGTGGAGACAGTTTACTGTCTGCATTAACTGAGGTTCTAGGCAGCGTCTGGGAATCAGAGGAAGTCCCGCCGGGTTGGTGTAAGTCATTGATTATCCCCGTATACAAGAAGGGAAACAAGTCTTCCTGTGATAATCACAGGGGAATTAGCTTGACTAATATGGTATCTAAGGTCTTAGGCTCAATAATAATGCGTAAACTAAGTGGTGCTCGGGGGGCACAGACACAAGAGAGCCGGGCAGACTTCAGAGCAGGAAGAGGGTGTATTCATTATATTTCACCCTTCGGTAGATTCTGGAACATAGTCATTCTTACCGGCGTCCAACAATCATTATATTTCTTGACCTAAAGGCGGCATTCGATTCTATCGACCGAGAGGTTGTCTGGCGATGCTTGGCTGTAAATAGAATGCCGAGAAAATACATTGCACTGATCAAGGCACTCTACTCGAACTCATGCAGCCAGGTGAGGGCTGACGGCGAATTGTCATCTAAAGTGGTGACAACTAGTGGTGTCCGACAGGGATGCCCACTATCCCCATTTCTATTCAATTTCATCATAGATGTACTGATGGACTTAACCCTAACTCATTTCAGAGACTCAGAGACTGACTTGTTACCAGGAAATAATCTCGTTGACTTAGAATAAGCAGATGATACAATCCTCCCTCGTAGGTGAAGACTGACAAAATGCAGGGTCTTCTGAACACCTTGAGCTGAGGCCTACGAATGTTTTCCATGCGATTCGCTCCCACAAAATGTAAGATGATGTTACAGGACTGGACTACACTGACTCCTAGTTTAGAAACAGGGAGTGAAGTGGTACAGCACGTTGACCGCTTCACTTATTTGGGGAGTTACATCAGCCCCAACGGGTTGATCTCTGAAGAAATCTCAGCACGGATACAGAAGGCTAGTCTCGCATATGCCAGCTTACGTCGTCTCTGGCGTAGACTTGATATCCGACTATCGACCAAAGGGCGGGTGTACTGCTCAGCAGTCCACTCCATCCTCCTTTATGGCTGTGAGACCTGGCCATTGAGAGCAGAAGACATGAAAAGATTAGCTGTGTTCGATCATAGGTGTCTGCGTTCTATCTCCCGTGTGAAGTGGTATCATAGGGTGAGCAATATTGAGGTTAGGCGTCGAGTGCTAGGTAAGGAGAGGAAATCAATCGACGAAGCTGTGAAGTTACATCGACTGAGATGGTTAGGACATGTGTTACGCATGCCTAGCCATCGCCTTCCTCAACGGGCAATGTTAGCTGACATAGGGTCAGACTGGAAGAGAGCTAGCGGCGGTCAAACCAAAACATCGCTTCATCAGTCAATGAAATCCACAACAGCTGGTTTAAACCACGTAGGAAGGTGTAAACTTCTTGGTTGGGGTCCTCGGGACGGGAAAAACCAATGGCTGGAAACAATCGGTGATATGGCTCAAAATCGTTCTCAATGGCGCAGATGCATCCACTCCTTGTGACTTATAATTTCCAATGAAACTATATTGCTTTTCGTTATTACTATTCCTTGTCTCTTATCCCTGTCTACTGTCTCTATTATGTATTTCTTCTCTTGCTTTGTGTGCTGCATGGATTGTGGCGACTTGAACTGCTGCACATTGGTGCAAAGTTCTACGTCGAAAACAGACAGACAGAACCTATATTGAGGTAGACCGATTGAGTTTTCAACGTAAGACTATGGACAAAAATGCAGCAGTTTAGGTTGCTGCACTCCATATAGTGCACTGAAATGTATGGGAGAAAGAATAAATACATAGAGAATGAGAGTTTAATGGACCAAATTCATAAGGACTGAATGCATCTGAATTATTGAAAACGACTTTGAGTCATGTCATGGACAGTCTCAAGCTACTGGCTTTTAGTATCTAGAGGTTACACCTTCCTATGTGGCACAAATCAATAGTCAAACACTTCATGGATTAATGCCACGTATTCATTGCCTCTCCCTTATTATCTTCCAACAATCCCACGTTATCTAACATTCCCATACATAACACTCGTCCTGGACATCTCGATTAATGCAGCCTTATAATCTTATCGATCGATTTGCTTCCCATACCTAACACTACTCAAACCTTCAATATTACTCACCATTTAACACGGAAGATAGGATGCAAACACCTTCAGTCAAAGACAGTTGGCCTCTTCGTATCATCCACTTTCAATGGCTATATCTCACAGCAACAAAGAAGGACAAGGCAGACTGCTGAACGGTACACACGTGTTTTGATGGATAGCCGGATATCGCGTCCACACCAGAGGTGATGTAAGCTTGTCTTTGCTATCCGTGTTGAAGTGAGGTTGCAACAGTCCCTTAACTGCTTATCCTTAAACTAAGGACCGATGAAGACCAGTCCTGCAGTTTTATTTTACTTCTGATAGGGGCAAATCGCATGCCAAACCTACTAAGATTTCTGCCAAAGGTGTTTAGAAGACTGCATTATGTTGAGGTAAACAAAATTTAAGCGTATCTCAACCAAAGTTCACAACTTCATTAACTTATTTACTTATCTTAAAGACTCCTTCATACTCGACGACTACACAGCTTACAAATGAGCAGTGCCCGAGAAAGCGGCTAAATATATTTTGTCTTTAGTGGACAATGATATGCAACACACCACGAGTGACGATGAAGAGAAGACTGAAATAAAGACATGCACACGAAAACATACAATGACATTCTATCTAAAGTCGCCATATTTCAAAGGAAGAAATGCGATCCAGTTCGAACTGGAGGTATGTGAATATAAACACATAAGGATAATTTATTATTAAAAATCTATAATGAGATTTGCACGATTAAAATTAGAATATGACTGCATGTACAATATTGAAAGAAATCTCTTCCTACATCATTGTGGAATACATAGTTGTTGCACATGCAAAAAACAAGAAAACGCTTTTCAATACTTAAGAGAAATGCACACATTACTCCTGTCTAAACACTATTTCTAAAAGGTACGTGTTCGATTACTAAATATTAAGTTTTTTCCAAGTCACTTTTACAAAGTACGCAATTCCAGGCAGGAAAGAACAACCCTATACGGAAAATCTAAAAATCATCTGGAACCCAGTATCAAAGTAACTCGATAAAAAAACAGCACCATGCTGTTAGTCACTTGGAAGCATGTAACGTGAGGATGACGACCTCTGATGTAACTAGCCTCAGACACAGGATCAAGAATATTACTAGGATGTGACTCGTCAAGCTAAGCACTTGACTTTTAGTCAGCGAGCTCATTTTCGATTCGGTGCCAATTACCTTTGTTTCGACGACTGGGTAGTGTCATCGAACTTCACACAATAAGTGCAGCTAGTAGTCTGATGCATAAAAAATCTGTACCGAGTGGTAGAATTCTAATTAGTTTATTTGTTCGAAACAGTATTCCGTGACTTCTAGTGAAAAGCTTAGGCACACAGCACAACATATTTACTGACGTATGTTATCCGCAAATTTGGTCTTTAAAAGGATGAGAAAGGCTACATGTAATCTTAATACCAAGGTGGGGGGTGGGTACATCATGTTCAAACTTAATGAGGACCACTTTTATAGAAACAGCAGGAGGTTCAGCAGATGCCGCCATCTCCTTATGTGGAATGCTAAAGCGGGCGGATTTTGTCGAAAGAAATACCATCATTCTTTCTCTTTTTCCGCACAAATGAATTAGGTAGGCGAAGTGAACCTGTTTCATATGTGTTACTGCCATATTCCTGAACAATAAAATCGAGTGAACACTACATGCCGGGATTACTAACTGATACGGATAAATTCGTTTATTTATTAGAATGTCGGTACTTCAAGTCAACTTTCAGTTATCTATGCCTGTTACATTGCTGTGTGGTTCTGCCAAGTGAAAGAACTCCCTCACATTTTGACGGTGGTGATTTCGAAAAGCTTTGTTAGACAAGTTCAATGGAGCAAACCCAAAATGAACCTCGCCGCTTTAGTTGATTTCGGAAATTGAATAAGAAAACTTTTTAGACATGAGAATAGCAGTAATAAAAGTAATCAGTGCTTTGTTGTCCCCTTCTCTTCAGGAGTATGACTTACTTTTGTAACTGTTCTTCGATTTCAGTGCACATTACACTGAAATTTGCGTCAAAATGTTCGTGGCATGTGGATGTTTGAGTGGAACTACTATTGTCAAATATCCCAGAAGTACTAAAGCGTGGAGGGTGTTTGTGCTCAATTGGACGGGCACCAATCTTTCCAAAAGCGGCTAGCTTGGCATCAATTTCACTTTCCAGTATGCGAGCTTGTATTCTCAGCTCATCCCAAGTTGAGGGAATCATATTAAAACAAGTAATATTCAACTACAAGGCTAAAGATCCGCAAGTTACCAACGCAGAACATTTGCGCTGGCAGAAAAACGCAACCGTTGTTTGAGGCGCCTTAAAATATTCAGTATCCAATATCGATATATCCAATATTTTTTTACCAGCTGCTGTAAAGCAAATTGATTTATTTGAGCTAGCTTCTTGGGTGCAGGGTAAAGGTTGCGAATGTTTGGTAAATTTCTACGTGGTTCTTCCCACCACTAGCTTGTCATAGCTAAGGTTGACTCAAAATGAGTATTGGTTTGTAGGGATTTGTTACAGGATTTCATCATAAGCTGACATCAGTTAGACAACCACTGCCCAGTACTCCCAGGTTTTTCAATGGTTCTCTAACCGATGTCAGTTCATGATGGAATCCTGTAAAAAAATAAAAAAGGAGTGTCACTGAGATTGAGTATACACGGTTTGTAGTATGCGGTGTGTAAAAACTGCTTCACTACTGTGAGTGAAGCTAATTCTTTAACCCACCAATAAATTGATAGTAACAATACATATATAATCAGTTCAGATTATGTAAACTCAAAAAAAGAAAGATATTTTAAAAATAGACAGCTAATGAAATTGACAGTATCTCAGTAATAACATAAGGAAATTAATAGCTGGAGTACTTAGAAGGGTGAGGTGAGGGAGAATGTGTGGAGGCGCAAAGACGAGTTTAAGTGTGCACCCATTGATAGTGTGTGAGTAATATGGGGATACACCGGTTAAACTCAGTCCTTGTGTCGCTGCATGATTGCTCAGTCCGCGCTTAAAGCCTTCTACTGACGATGCAGTAGCCACATCCGCTAGTAGAGAGTCCCAGAAGTAGCAAACTCAGAGTAAAAGGAAGTGGGCGAGCACTTGATTCTTTGCTTTCTTGTGAGCTATCTTTCATGAATTGACATGAAAAGCCCATAATGAATTGATGGTAGAAGACTTTTACTTATGTGATGCTGTTTATTTTTAGTCTTAAAGACAGCAGTAAACTTACCCCTAGACCAACGGTGGCTAGATTTGAGAAGACCTGATTTCTTCAGCTATCATCATACGGTTAATTTCGGAGACCCGTCACCTATTTTGTCGTCCGACTTTGCACTCTTTCCAAAAGTTTAGCTCCCCTTCCAAATAGCGGGAGAGAAATGATACTGTGGACTTCAAGAAGCTGTCATACGTCAGTTTTTACTACTTCAGATACAGCAAAGGATTAAGCGAATTCAGCTGTCTACGCGTAAAGTGTATAACCACATACGCTCTCGTTACATTATGCATGTGTCCATTTATTCCACTAGAATCGAGCCTAAATTGCACTCTGAAGTTGTACACGATAAGTTTTCGTTACACAGGGTATGACTTACATTCTGCAGTCTACAGGCTCATAGCTGCACTACTTGCTTTTTTTTACGTTAAAAGTCATACCACCAATCATGGCCCAATCTTCCAGGATTTTAGGTCCACCTGTAGTTCATCAGAGTCTTCCAAAAACCGTGTGGCTGCACAAATCTCTGTGTCGTCAGCTTAAAGAAGATCCGGACACTTAAGGTGGCATGGCAGGTCACTGATAAAAATCGAAAACATCACTGGCTCTAGGACAAAACCCTATGACACTCTTGGTGACTAACTGTGTCAGGATGGTCGGACACGACTGACCTTAGTGCAGAATTTCCTTTCGTTTATGCAGTCCTCCGACCATGACAGTGGCGGCCCAACTACACTTACCTAACCTATTTTGTGTCGGAGGTGATGGTGAGCTGTGTCAGATGTCTTGTCAGAGTCTAGGACGATCATATGGACTGTAACATTCATACCCCAGCATAATATCCAGTGATTCTAAGCTGATACTAGGTTTGCCACAGAGGATCTGCCTCTCCTGGAACCGCGTTGTGCTTAATGGGGCATGTTAGTCTTGTCGTGATGTTGCCTGATTTGTTTGTCGACCAGACTTTCTAATATTTTTGATATCAGTGGGATGGTGGCATTCTGTCCCAACCTCGGAAATAGGCGAAGGGTTTGCTTTCTTCTAGACCCTTGGAAGTTTCTTTGAATCTATTGAGTATTGGAACAGGCCACATAAGCGCCTACACAGAGTGTCAGCGCAATGTTTGAGAACAAATGGCTGAGTGTGGTTACAATCTGGGAACCATTGTGGGGTTTGTTTAGAGAGTAGCCATTGGGTTTTCTTTTGGTAAAATAGCGGTTCAGATTTGGCGAAGTCATGTAGTACGTCCGTCGACCCGTCTGACCGCCACTTCCACTTTTGTCACCGACTGTCGTTCTCAGTCGTTGAGGGGCGTTTAAGTAAACTTTGTTCCTTGATGTATTCACGGCCCTCTGTCATGTTTCAGTTAATTTAGACAAGACTGTAGAAATATGGCTGACCGACTGGTTTCAATGTGAAACTTTGCATAGAAGTGCACCAGTTCAAGTTACAGCATTATATGCACCAAACAAAGAACGAAAAAAGTGAAAAAAGATTCGAAGGAACAGTATCCACTAGCTCTTTTTCAACCTGTTCATATTTCAACTAAGACTGTCCGTCGAGCAAGGCAGTAGATAGGAATGAATGCGTAACACATGTGCTAACCAACCCCATCGATGTAGCTTCACAATGTTACCTATTGACTTTCCCTCCTCACCTAACAATCGACTCCTAACCTGGATAGTACTCACCATATTATGCCACCTTACAAATGAGGTAGAACGCAATCATCTATGATCATAGACATATACAGAATTCTACAACAGTAGAGGAAGAGGAGATAGAATTACACTAATTAAGTTAGAAAGCCGTACGAATAATTTGATAGGATTTTAAGCAATAATGGCACTCATCTGGTTAACAATACTGTATCATGATGTTCTCGATCAAGTATCCAACATGGAATTACACGCAATTCAATCTACCACAGCTGTAGAAACTTCTGTGGTGGTAGCTGTCGGATGGCTTCTAAAAATAGCTGGAAAGTTAACGTGCTTCAGAGGTATGGAAATGAAACACCTTTTTTTACAAGGGATTTGGTGAAGTAAAATCAGAAAATGTACTATCACATCCCGAAAGTTGTACTCTTGCATTAGGTTATGTCCCATAGGAGTTCTCGTGTGCAGTGCTTAAGGATAATACATGCCTCATTGATGATAATCAGAGTTAGTGATGGCCCTGTCTAAACAAACAACATGCTGTTGTTCAAAAGTAATCCTTTACGTCCATTATAGTGGTATTAACTTTGAACATGATTAATATTTATTTTTTATTTTATTCTAATTTTGATTACAGCTTGATTCCACACCGTATTTTCAGTACAAGTATGGAATTTTCAGCATGGATATCGGTAGCCCAAATTTACAGGCCAACCATAGATATCGGGTGTGCGCCGGCAGGGGATCGAACCCCGGACCATGTGCATGGTCGGCGAGAGTCCTAACCACTGTGCCACCGACGCCACCGTTTTACTACGAAGCGTGTTCCTTTTACATTAACCAGGATAATCTATTGAAGGAGATAGCTTTACCAGAATATGAATATCAAACGAATTCGATTGCTGGACTACTATTTGATACCAAATCCACTGTACGGGCATGTTTCCAAATCGAAGCTTTTAACTCTCCTCCAGTTTGTCTGAATAAGGTCAGAAACGGACTGCTGCGTTATTTTTCTTCAAAGCAACGTCTTCCCTTTCGTGTATGATCATATTTGGTGCTTTTAAAAACATTATCATCAGTACATTTAAGTGTCCAGATGAACAACGTAAAAAAGCTTACGCCTCATCACAAGAATTCGGAACTACTTGTTACCTTTGTAGGCCGAAGACTGTTCAAAATGCTGTGTAAAATGGTATAAATAACAGTTGTATTTATACACTATCAGCTTTAAGCGGTATAGCTGCACCATTTTTATGTTATTCTTTAGTCATCTGCTCCAATTAGTTGAACTTGTTCCATCAGCGTACAGTGTATATTAATGTTATTGAACTTAAATGACAAGATGAGAATTGACAAATGAATTTCCTTTGTATAATCACAGAATTTCTAGGTGGTGCTTTGCCAGTATTTGTCAAAAATGAAGATTGATCCCGAAGTGATATCCGTCAGTTGAACCACTGAAATCACAGAGTACTATGCAGCTGTTTCATCCTTCTATGAGACTCTTCATCAGTACAAACTCATGGCCCCACCAGTAACCAACTTCGGGACCTTCAGGATGTATGGAAAGTTCATATATCATTCAGCCACTGGGATTGAATCCTATGGGTCGTCAGTTCTAACTTCTGTCAATTCATGATAGCTAGAACCGTTAAAATCAATGGAGTGCTGGGGAGCCGTGTTATTCTGGTTTAGGACCCTTTAGAACTATGTAACCATCGCTGACGACACTGGCTGGCCGTCGCACGATAGTTGAATATTCGGCGGTATATATAATTATGCATTTGTGCCTTCCTATTTATTGCCACTTAGATCATCAGTGATGAGGTCCCACACTGTAGTCTAAATAACTTAGGTTTACAAAGGAAAGTGAGGTAAAATTAGACTTAGGACTGTGTAGTTTGTTACCTCCGAATTTGATTTTGTTACTTATTATTATTAATTTACTGGAGATATAACGGTGTCCTGAAGTTGGTGATACTCCACCACGAATTCATACTGCCAACCAACCTCTACCCATAAAAGAAGAGTGCGCCAGGGAGACCAATCAAATAAGTTGCCTTATACTTGTGACGTGTGCTGCCTTTCCTATGGCATCAAGCCTGCAGTTATCTGCATCTCATTTAGCCCCGATCTTTGAGTTTTTCCTAATTCATGAAGCCGTAACTATGGCAAGGCATTTAAAGTCCATCTCTAGAGTGAAAATCTTCAACTTCACAAAGCTTGTAGTATCTTTATTGCATTATGTGAATACTTTTATCACTGTGGTATTCCCTAAATACTCAATGATAGTGTGGGCCTACCCTGCCACATCCTAGTTTCTTAGTTAAATCGAGTTATTTTCCTTATTTCGTATTTCATGGGTTTCAACACATATCGGATTTTGTGATTAAGTTTAGCATATGTGTTCAGCTTACCATCCTTCATGGAGGGTTAAAATGAGT